CTGTACTGACGTTGTACATATGATTATTTTGAACACATGATTATGCCTTGTGCATGCCTCACGGGTTTCGTGAAATATACATTATTATTATTATTTCACGCGTTCGCCAGAAGCAGTTCCGATCACCGACGTCTCGAATGAAACCGTAACCAAGACGTTCGTTGAGCGTTGGGTAGCAAATTTTGGGTGTCCCACTACGTTGCCTACAGACCTCGGCACTCAATTTGAGTCTGCATTATTCAATTCGTTAACAGCCATGTTAGGGTGTCAACGTATGAGCATCACAGCATACCACCCGGCAGCTAAAGGACTTGACGAACGTTTCCATCGACAGATTAAAGCTGCATTTAGTGCACAATCCGTCATTTCATAGACGGAGGCGCTCCCACTCATCAAAGGAAATCCATCAAAGACGATCTAAAGTGCACGCCGGCCGAACTAGTATATGAGACTACACCCCGTCTTCCCGGAGAGTATATTTCCCCACACAAAGCTTCACTTCAAGCGTCACCGGAATACGTCCAACGGTTTACAGATCACACGCGTGAGTTAACCTCAGCCGTCACACGTTTACTTGAAGACTTGCACACACGTTTGGGTCCGTTACGACGCAGTACGCAGACCCCTACAGGCACTATATAATGGCTCTTACCGCGTACTTCGACGTAGCGAGAAACAGATAATCATCGATAGGAACGGGCACCGCGATACTACCTCCATCGATCGCACGAATCCAGCTTACGTCGACCCAACATCCGTCACGGCAACCCCTATTACGGACACCACCACAACGATAGCCCCCACTCCATTGGCAATCACGCCAGGTTCGACCACTCCTCTCACCCGGGTACACTGCCCTGTACTTCAGGAACGTCTCCACTGCGTTCCTCTTTAGCTGGTTCAAACCTCAGAACCACTCAAACCGGCCGTTTGGTAGTATTACAACTCCTTTTGTGGAGTGTTCGTATTACTAACCCATTATTTACACACACAAAAAACAACAAAAATAGTCTTGTGATATATTTTTCGTACATACCTATTTATATATGCCGGAACAAACAAAAAAACCATTTTTGCCTGTCAAAGACGTACCTGATTATTAGTTCATTTGTTTTGCTTTACCGGAACCGTACTCAGCTTCTTTTGTTTTGCTTACACTGTAGAGCTAAGGAACGTTTTTATTCGCATCATGAACAGCACAAGAATTACAAGACGTACTTTATTCGTATTTTTCGATTGGCAACCGTTTGCCACTTTGTACATCTTGCACTTGTATCCTAAAGGGTTTATATTTTTGTAACCAATAGCCTAGATGGCTTACGGTGAGGTTGACGTTGCTTCTTATCTCAGTGCTGTCGTCCACCCGTGCGACATTCTGTCATTGCGACGTCGTGGGATCTTTCCACCCTAAGAAACTGACTCGAGATCACACACCTTCCCTCTTCTGCACGTTGGAACAACATTCACAGCTACTTACATTCATACTACAATTCATCATTACTTGCTCTCGTTAAACATTCACACATGAACTGGAAAATAACTATTCCAGGAATCACTCGGAGAACTTCAGGTCAGGTCAGATTGCACATTTCATTCAGTTATGCATTCACGCATTAGCCTTCACCATGCACCCTAAACTGGACAAAACTGTTCAACATATCTATGGAGTATCCACCTTCTTTGTTCAATCAGGTAACCCACGGGTAGCTTTACTCCAGACCATTGAGCGGCGAAAAGCAGGAGCCCTTGTGGTCATAGTTAAAAAATCTGGTTTGTGATTTCACCACAAACATGACTACAAGGCGGTGTCCCCAAAAGTCGGTACCTCGTTTGTCTCGTCGAAGTTTGCTTATCACCACCCGTCTAGGGGGAGGCTGATGTAGCGGTTCCCCAGTCGACATTTTCTCAGCGGCAGTTTTCTTTTCTTGCCCCTTGTTTTTTTCTAAGTTTCCCGGTAGATCCATTCAAGCTGGACGTGATCATCAAACCACGGATCAGTGGCACCTTCACTCTACGCTGGTGACTAGCATCAGGACAGGTTCAGTTTATAACCAGTCCTGTATAATTGAGAACTATCAGGATATGGTTACATAACCATGAGATACTTATCAAAACCATCAAGGTTCAGATATGAAGTAGTGACTTAGCCTATCGATTAGGTAGATTAATTACAAAAGCTAGACTATCGTTTTTGTTTTCCTTCTTACATAAGTACCCTTCTTTTCCACGTGGTAAAATCGAGTGTACCTACGAGATTTAGCACGTGTCGCCATTATTTGGCGATATCAACCTTCTATAGGAAGTTTCCTCACTAAATGAAGCCACTTGGACACTTCTAAAATTAAGTTTTAGTTTAAATATTATCGTGCGTTTAATGACCTGAAAAAGATCGCACCGACATAATCCCCACGGTGAGCTCTGTATCGCTTCCTTGCAGTGATCAGATCTACTTTCAGGTTTCCGCTGCCGTCGCTTAAATAACTGCCTAGGTCAAGCCAAACTTATTTC